AATCATTTTCAAAGTTATGTAGATCAGCCCCTTTTCCTCCCACTTTCTTAAGTAGGTTGTTGCGTAATTAGTAATACAGTTAGATTGTTTTGTCACGTCTGCTTTCTATCCTGGGATTCCCCCAACTTCCTAAATTTGCTTTCATAATTTGCATACAGTAAGTGTCATTTTTTGTGCTATAAAGTTCTATAGGTTTTGACAAATGCATAGGTTCATGTATCCACAATTACAATATTATACAGAATAGTTTTACCACTCTTGTCTTAGCCTGCTCCTGCTGCCATAACAAAATTCCATAGACTGGTTGGCTTAAACAACAAAAACTTATTTTCTTCCAGTTCTGGATGCTGGTTCCAGTCCCAGTCCAAGATTGAGGATTAAGCTGGGTTTGGTTCCTGGTGAGAGCTCTCTTCCTGGCTTGCAAATGGCTACTTTGTCCTCAAATGGCTATTCCTACGTCCAAGACTCTGCTAGGCAGTTAGTTTCCAAAATTGTGAGAAAAAAATATCACCCAGTCTGTGATATTTTGTTTCTGTAGCCCAAGCAAACTAAAATAACTCTGTAAAACTCACCAGTGTTCTATTTAAACTTTTACACACACACACACACACACACACACACACACACACACACACACACACTACTCCACCCTACCCTCAAATCCATAGGACCACTTTTTGCTATTCTATAATATTGCCTCTTCCAGAATGTCATGAAAATGGAATCATACAATCATATAATATGTGGCCCTTTCAAACTAGCTTTTTAAACTTAGCAATAATAATGTAAGATTTGTCATGTCTTTGCCTGGCTTGATTGATTGCTCATTTCTTAATGGTTAAATAATCATCAATTGTATGGATATACCACAGTTTGTTTATCCACTAACCTATTATAGGACATTTTTGTTGCTTCCAATATTGGGTGATTATGAATAAAGCTGTTACATATATTTGTGTGTGGGTTTTGTGTGGACATAAGTTTTCAAATCAGTCAGGTAAATACCTAAGAGGGTGATTGTTGTATCATATGGACCACATGGCTTTGTAAAAAAAAACTGCCAAACTCTCTTTCAAAGTGGCTGTAGCATTTTTACATTCCTACCAGCAATGAAAATCATTGCTGTTGCCTGACATTTTTGCCAGCAATTGGTATTCACATTTGTTTGTTTGATTGTTTGTTTGTTTGTTTGTTTAGATTTTAGTTAGCCAATAGCCATGTAGTAATATCTCATCCTTGTCTTAATTTTAAAATCCCAAATGACAAATGATACTGAACTCTTTTAATGCAGGTATTTGCCATCTATATACCATCTTTTGAGCTGTTTTTTCAGGTCTTTTGAACATGTTTTAAGTGGGTTGTTTGTGTTCTTATATTTTTTATTTTAAAAGCTCTTTTTATAGTTTAAATACAAATCCTTTTGTACAAATATGTGTTTTGTAAATATTTCCTCTTAGTCTATGACTTGTCTTTTGATTCTCTTAACAGCATCTTTCTCAAAACAGAAGTTTTAATTTTAATAAATCCAATGTATCAACTTTTTCTTTCATAAATCATACTTTTGGTGTATTTAAAAATTCATCACCAAATTCATCTAGACTTTTTCCTATATTATCTTCTAGAAGTTTTATAATTTTATGTTTTACATATATAAGTCTATGATGCAATTTTGAGTTAATTTTGCAAAATGTGTAAAGTTTTGCATATGGATGTCCAATTGTTCCAGAAACATTTGTTGCAAACACTGTCCTTTCTCCATTTAACTGTCTTTGCTCCTTTGTCAAAGGTCAGTGACTGACTATATTTATGTGGGTCTGTTTCTGAGCACTCTATTGTTTCATTGATCTATATATCTACTCTTTTGCCAATACCATGTTGTCCTAATTATTGTAGATTAAAAGTCTAGAAATTTGGGTATATGATTTCTCCAACATCCTCTTACTCTTTCTTCTCCCCCTCCTCTTCCTCCAATTTTACATCAGCTATTCTAGGTCTTTTGCCTTTCCGTATAAGATTTAGAAGCAGTTTGTCAATGTCTACAGAACAGTTTGCTGGAAATTTCATTTAATCTATACTAAATCTATTATATAAGTTAAGAAGAACTTACATCTTAGCACTACTGAGTCTTCTTATCCATGAACACAGAGTATCTCTGTTTATTTAGATGTTCTTGTATTTTTTCATCAGAGTTTTAGAGTTTTCCCTATATAGATTCTGCATATATTTTTGTTAGGTTTATATCTTTTTCATTTTAGGGATAAATGGCATTATTTGTTTAATTTCAAATCTTAGTTGTTCATTGTTAGTGTATAAGAAATCAATTGACTTTTATATAATAACTAGAGGCCAGGTGCATGAAATTCATGCACAAGTGTGTGTGTGTGTGTGTGTGTGTGTGTCCCTCAGCCAAGCCTGCACCTTCTCTAATCTGGGACCCTTCGAGGGATGTACGACTGCCCCTTTAGGCCCGGTCCCCCCAACTGCCCTCCCATGCAGGCCTAGTCTCCCCAACTGCCCTCCCCTACTGGCCTTGTCCCCCCCCAACTGCCCTCCCCTGCAGGCTTGGTCCCCCTCCAACTGCCCTCCCCTGCAGGCCTGGTCCCTGCCAACTGCCCTCCTCTCTAGGCCATCTTGTGGTGGCCATCTTTGACCACATGGGGGTGGCCATCTTGTGTGTTGGAGTGATGGTCAATTTGCATACTGGTCGTGACTAATTAGCATATCTGGGCTAATTAGCATATGCCTCTCTTATTACATAGGATTTGTATCCTGTGACCTTACTATATTCACTTATTAGTTTCAGGATTTCTGTTGTTGATTCTTTGGGATGTTCCACATAGATAACCGTGTCATTTGCAAACACACACAGTTTCATTTCTTCCTTCCCAATTTGTATACCTTTCCCTTTCTTTCCTTGTCTTGGTGTACTGGCTAGGACTTTTAGTACAATGGTGAATAGAAATAGTGAGAGGATATCCTTAGGGAGAAAGCATCTAATTTCTTACTGCTATGATATTAGTTATATTTTTTGTTTATTTTTAAATGTTTTATTGATTTTTTTAGAGAGAGAGAAAGGGAGAGGGAGAGAGAGAAATATCAATTGGCTGTCTCCTGCATGCATCCTATTGGGGACCAAACCTGCAACACTGGCATGGGAATGGGACTGACTGGGAATGGAACTGGCAACCTCTTGGTGCATGGGATGACATCCAACCTGCTGAACCATGTCAGGAGGGCTTAGCTGTAGGCTTCTTGAAGATATTCTTTATTAAGTTGTCCTCTTCCTGAGAGATACATGTTTTATATTTGTTCAAACTGTTTTATTTTTTCATATGACAATTCTGCTGTTTGTGATATCTCCTGACCTCTGCTCATCATTGTTCCTTTCTTTTGTGCTTTGTAACTTTGATTATGAATTGTTTTGTTTTTCTGTAGAATATTTATCCTCTGCTCATAAAGATGCACCAATATAGAAATGATAAAGTTAGCATGCCAATCACTGAATTCATTTAAATACATTCAGACTCCCCCAGCAAATTGGAAAGCAAGTAACCATTTAAGTTCACTTTTTAATATTCTTTTAAAATTTTCTATCAGCCCAGCCAGCTTGGCTCAATGGTTGAGCATCGACCTATGAACCAGGAGGTCAGGTTTTGATTCTTGATCAGGGCACATGCCCCAAGTACGGGGCATGCAGGAAGCAGCAATGGATGATTCTCTCTCATCATTGATGTTTCTATCTCTCTCTCTCTTCCTCTCTGAAATCAATAACAATATAATAACAATAATAATAAAAAATAATCTATCATTTCATGCACCTCTGGACAAAGTTAAGAAGTTAGTAATAGATCTGGTTTCAGTTTCCTCCTCAGCTTTTTGGCTAGTAATACAATCTTGACCAGGTTCTTTAACTTCAAGGATCTTTAATCTTACCATTTATTTATAGAAAAATTAACAATGGTAACATTCACCACTTATTTTTACTCGAAATATTTTGGAGAAACTCATTATCTTTGTATTGTCAAATCTGTGTCCTCCTGAATGGTTCTGTGAAGACTCTAAGGTAGCACACTGATCTCCACCTCCGGATGTTCCTGCCTTTGCATATCCCTGCTTCTGGGGGGTGGGTGGGTCCTGTGACTGTGTCTAAGGAAGAGAATATAGCAGTTGATGGGATGTCCCTCTGCAGTTCTGTTCAGTGCATGGAAAAAGTGAGGGGATGCCACCCTTGTGCTTGCACTCCATTATTTAAGACTCTGTCTTTTGCTTCAGTCTTTGTTTCCATTGTTGGTTTTTAATAGGCAAGCTGCTATGAATCTTATGCCCTCAAGGAACTGAATCTGACAACAACCTGGGGGAACTTGGTAGTAAATCCTTTCCCAGTGCAGCCTCCGGGCAAGAACTCCATTCTGGGTGACACTTTGATTGCAACCTTGTGAGACACTGAGCAGACCCAACTACGCTTTGCCCAGACTTCTGACCTTCAGAAACTTTGAGATGATAAATATGTTTTAAGCCCCCAAGTTTGTAGTAATTTGTTAAAGAACAGAAAACTAGTACAAGTGCAAAGCCTCAATTAGTAGGTAATGTCTTTTAGGAACCTTAAGAGGTGTCAAGTGTTCATCCCAGATTTTTAAAAGTTTACACTCACAACAGCCATTTATTTCATTTAAAGTAGGTAAGGAAAGAAATTAGGTAGGGATAGAGAAAAAGTTCTGACACTGAATAATGGCATCCTTTATTTCAAAAAATTATCAATTTTTTATTTTATTGCCCATAGTTCTGTAGAAAATGGATATAAAGTACCAATAATTTTGTGATCTGAAGGATTTGATAGTTATGTATTATTTACTAGTACTTAGATTACATACGTCCATAAATACTTATACTTTATAATCAGAACACATAAACTGTGTCCATGTTTGATTTCTTTAGTACAAACTAGAATTTTTAATACTGTTTGCATCATGCAACTAAGATATAAAGGTGTTACAAAGTAGAAAGTGAAAATAAAGTTTTATTTCAAAAATATAATTTCTAACTTTTTGACATGGTGATGTTACTTTAATCACATAACAATGAAATTCCCAGTATGCTTGATTCAAATTATGGTTTATCAGTGCATACTTGCAAATACATTTTCATAACAAATTGTCAATTAATGCTAATCACCAATATTACATATTTGACAAGTTTGGAGTTTAAAAAAGCACTTTTCAACCATTTTCTTAGTAAATTACATCAAAGTGAGTCATCTTGCATCTAAGCAGGGAAATGAAATCTAAAGCCCTCCTAAGGTCACACTCAGTCTGAAAAGCTATTACCCACATTTCCACTGAACAACAGCTAGTTTTCTTACAACTTGTGAACACACATGTCATACCCTCCCTTCCTGTATTCTGGTTATAAAGTGCTTTTCTTTTTTTCCAGAACATAACTGACTCTTGACTCTAGTCCATCTTATCACAGACAACAGTGTGACTCTCTGTTCCTTCCCTGGGCCTTTTGTGAGGGGTTGGTGACTGTAAGAAGGAAGAATTGCACTACACTGAACACTTAAAGCCACAAGAAAAGTAAATGACCTGTGGTCTGCTTTCCCAGATGACCCATGGTGGTTCTCAAAACATTGCTCACATCACAGAAGACTAAAGTCATCTTTCCTCAAATAAATGTGGTATTTCCTTCTGCTGAACTCTGTGAAATAGGATTCACAGGAAATGCATTTGTGTAAGCAGATCTCTGACAGGATAATTCTAGTCCATGATAAGAAGTAAGCTCTATCAGTTGAATCACAGCCCATTTGCTAGCCCTGGTTGAAAATAAATGTATTGCTAACCATGCAGTTAGAAATGTGCCTATATCTGAAAACTTGCTAATGCAGACCAGGACAATCACCCTAAATAGGTGTTTGTTTTCCTATTTACCAAAACCAGTCTCTTTTTCCATGCAGTAGCTACAATTGCATGGTTTATGTATTCTTGGAGGGAGAGTATATCCTCCTGTGGCTTGTGGTGATAAAATAACTACACAGAACCAGCAAAAAGGGTAAACGACATCTAGGGAGACTATAATGATAGGCGAGAGACAGGAAGAACTGGCTTCCAACTTCAGCCCTGCCACTGCCTATGGGGATGTCTGCAAATTTTTGCTTCTGAGGGCATGCTTAACACCTATCTCCAGGGTTATGTCAGGGATCGCACAGAAACCATTTTTAACCTACTAGGCAGTCTGTAATTGTAGGCAGGATAGCTATTGTCTCTGTGAAACATGCTGCACTCTGCTTTTCGTATGAGTGATTCTCAAGTAGAGCCCACTGGATGCTTCTGAGTTCAAAGAATTAATAGAGAGCAGGTCTCAATTAGAGATCACTTTTATTTTATTATTTTGTTCTTAACCTACAGGCTTTCTAACCCTCTTCTCTATTTTTTTCTCAAATGATTCATTCTTCCCTCAGTTTATTTGAGTGTAGATTTTCCACTTAAAGTCAACTATCAAATGACTCTATTTCTCCCAAACACACACACACACACACACACACACACACACACTCAAATCAGTAAGGGCTAGTTATTATATTGCCAGGGTTATTTACTCTAGAATAGAGGCAGTGAGCAGCTGTATCACCAGAACAGAAAAATTATGGACTTTAATAGGCATTGAAAAAAAATGCTATTGAGTGGCTAGACATAATATGATACTAACATAACTAATAGGCTCAAGAGTGCCGAGGCAATAACTATTTAAAATATATAACATAATGTAAGGAGTGATATGGAAAAAATCTACAGGAGGAAAATCCTCTTCCTGAATCTAGTTTTTCACATTTTAGATTTGTTTAAAAAAATTACAAAGCTATAAAATCTTGCCAGTTCAATATTTAGATAGAATAAAAAATGAATCAAGTAAGAATAACATTTCCACCCATTTTGTTTAGGCTGCCTAAAAAAAAACAAAAAACAAAAAACCACCAAACTTATTATAATCTTCCTCAGTACCCACCTTAGACAATATCTTTCCATGGATCTCAGGAAGCTTAAACCCTCATATTAAATCTTACATTTCCCACTTGACTGTCACTGTAGATGTGAAAAATGGCTGATGGTCATCTTTGTTTATAATCCTTCAGAGATTTCAATAGAAACATTCAAAATTGCCTATTTTTAAGCCTCCCCAAAGGTTTCTGAGCTTAAGTTAACATAACGTTTTGATACCTACTTATTTACCTACAGAAGGTATTCCAAATAATTATATTGTCACTTTCTTATTTACACTGGACTCCAAAGTTCTCAATTTTTCACATGGATAATCTACAAAATAAATATTACTCTTGCCTTCACAGGCAGCATTAACATGAGCAAGCATTTGTGTTCTTTTGTTATATTATCTAACTTACAACTTTATTTCCTTGCTGTCTGCTTAGAACTTCAGCTGTTCTAGTTAAAACATTAAGATGCAGAAAAAAAAAAAAAAAACACGATAGAAAAACTTTAAATAAAGGTCACTATTGCCTAAAATGGGATGTCAGTTTTGCAATTCATTTGCACTTTCCCACTAAGCTGGGTGGAGTTGATCTAAACAAGTCCAGAAGGTATTTATGAAATAAGCTCATAGGAAGGGGCATCGCAACCCCTCAGAAGCGACTCTCTTCCTCTTCCACAGGGCGGTGAAGGCCAGGGATGAATTTCAAGAGTTGTTTCCGGACGCTCCCCCTTCTGCTTTTTCGGGGTAGAGTCCCAAACATGCTTGAGAAGTTGCTCTCCCACATGGGAGACATGGACCCACTGCTGGCAGTACTGATGCTCCGGTTCCTGGAAGATGACTTCTTCAGAAAATCGTCCCCATCCTTGAGGACAAAGCACTCATCATCGGTGCTTGTCTGCCTGCTGAAGGCTCCCTTGCTCGAGTCCTCAGACACACATGTCTGGTAGCCGTCCTCGCTGTCCATTGTCATGGAGCTCAGCCAGCTCTTACAGCTGCTCTCACTGGATAATCGATTCCGGTCCGGGAGGGCTGAACCTGCCCCGGGCAGGGTTCCAAACAAAATTGATTCATCTATGTCCATGTTTTCCAAACTTGGGCAGTTAGCTGCATCACCTAGAATGCAGAAAACAAAGTCTACTGTGGAATGGATCTAAGCACCATCACTCCCTACAAGTAAATACACCAAAATTTCTCTTCCAAGGGTAAATAATATTTTTCATTGAGTCTTGACTTGCGTGAATAAATGACTGGTTATAAGGTAATTTGATAAACCTATAGTATGATTTCCCAAGTTAGTTGCCCATGGCCTACCTGCCATGTAAAAGGGTTGATGGTCATGAAAAGGGTAAGGCTAGATTAAATACATTTAAACCAGATTCTTCATATGAGAACAAGTTCTATTCATTTGACAGCATGCCTGCATGACTTGAGAACTTTTGAAAGGATCATTTTTAAACTGAAGTGACCCTGTAATCTTTTATTAAAAACTTGATAAAGAAATGGGACTTTAAGGAATATACTTGGAGAAATGCTGTCTTATAGATTTTCTCCATTTAGTTCCTCTTATGTTTAACTACTGTCCTTTTTCATGATTATAAATTTACAATAACATTATTTGATGTGTAGGGGAAACACAGTTATAAAACCTGCACCTGTAGGCTCATTATAGAGAAGTCAAAGGTATTTAAGGCAAAAAGGATATTGTCGAGTCTCAATATTCCAAGTTTCATATTAGAATGCTATAATACTTAAGTGCTCTGAAATGGTACTGTGCCCAGAAAATAGCCCTGTCCTCAAATAAGTAACAATTCATTTGAAGGAATTGAGTTTTATCTGCTTAGCTGAGTTTTTCATCAACCTTTTATAACCGACATCTGGGGTCCCCAAACTCAAATTGGAATCACAGACCAATATCCTGCCCCACCCCCCTTACTTCTATTCTAGCTGGTATAATGCAAAAAGAAAGCAGATTATCTGTAATACCAGCCTGAGAAAGACATACGTCCAGCCCCCTAGTTTCAACCAATCACTGATCTAAAATATTTGAGAAAAATAATAATAATTCCAGAAAGTTTCAAAGAGCAAAACTTGAATTTGCCATGGCACCGAGCACTACACTGAATCCACATGAATGAAGTGAAAGATAGCATACCATTTGGTAGCCTTACATGTAAATACAAGTTGTATGAAAATACTATGGCATTTTATGGAATACACTTGGGCATCTTGAATTTTGGTATCCACAGGGTGTGTCCTAGAAATGATCTCCCATGGATGCCAAGGGATAACTGTAATTAGATGGTAAGTACTTCAAGAAAAACAAGAAAGCCTAGCTGGCATGGCTCAGTAGTTGAGCATCGACCTATGAACCAGAAGGTCAGGGTTCAATTCCTGGTCAAGGGCACAGGCCTGGGTTGCATGCTCAATCCCCGGGGGCTGGGGGGGGGGGGTGGCGTGGGGGGGGCGGGCAGTCAATCAATGATTGCAGGAGGCAGTCAATCAATGATTCTCTCTCATCATTGATGTTTCTATCTCTCTCTCCCTCTCCCTTTCTCTCTGAAATGAATGAAAATACATATTTTAAAAGATTTTTTATAAAAGAAAAAGAACATTGACATTCAAAAATGGTTTCACTTTGCATTATTTCTACTGCTGCTTTGTCCTTTGTTGACAATATAAAAGGAGACTGTTTATTTTTCCTTTTGATCTGTAAGGTTAAGTATGGCCAGCCCTCAGTGAGTGATTAATCATAATTCTTTTCTTTTTGCTAATACAACCTACTTTATTTCATTTTGCAATGCTTTGATTAGAGAGCAATTGCTTTATAGAATTTCATGCCCTGAATATTTATTCTAGGTCTAGAAAAAGTAAAAAAAAAAACTCGTTCAACTCTCAAAAAATTTGTACAACAATGACCTTATGAGGATTCAGTCTCCTTCATTCTTACCTAAGGACCTTGTCTCCACAAGGCCATTGCTACAGAATCCCAGAACAAAGCCCATCTCTACTCCAGAATGCTCCAAAAGTGAAGGCAAAGGTTTCCCGAATCTTCAGGTCTACAGAAACCTAAAAGGTAGCTAAATTTTGTACCTGTCTTGCTAGTAATCTTCAGGCCCCCAAAAAATCTGTTATGAATTTTAAAAAAATATTAAGTTAAATATATAAAAAATAGAAGTAACTCATACAAACTTTTTATCAAAAAACAACTTCAACGTAATTTCTAAGCCATAAGTTAAGTGCCTAATTAAAAATTAAATGTACCTTTTTTCTGTAAAGAGGTTATCACTTTTGACATATCTAGGTTATAAATAGAGACTTTAAACTTAGTATTATTTGAAAGAAATATAATCTATCTTTCACACCCACTCTGCTAGTGGTTTCAATGAATTATTTATACATACAAGTTCTTCTTCAGGCCACACTAGTCACATAGCAAATCTCAAGTTGACAAATTTTAAACTCATCCCTTCCCTTTAGAAGGTACACAATGTCAAGAACCACGTTACTATTATTATGATCATTCACATTTCAGTCTTAGTGGTCATGAAGGAGAATATCTCTGCATTAATGTAACCTATACAATTTGAACAAGTGTTAGGAGCTCTACACACAAAGTGTGCTACCATTCCAGCCTCAGTAGTTTCTGGGAACCACACAGCCCCTGAGCCATGGACGTTCTCAGGAATTTCACTCATCTGCTGAAATCAGGCCATCATTCCTACTGCTCTTCTAAAATCTCCAGGTGCCTCTTGCAAGCATGTGCATGCAGGAGCATATCTGCATGCTTTGATGTGCATATGTGTTATGTGTATGAAGGAGGGATGTGACTTGACTTATCCCTCCTCCAAATACATAGGTCACTCCAAAGAAATACAAACTGGTATTCATTATCCATGCTGCACAATTTTTTTCTTATAATGATGATAATCTTAATGCAACTTAGAGGCAGAAATACTAAAAGGGTGAAATGTTAGTGTGGTTTCTGAACAGGAAATCACATTTACCATGAAGCAGGCGCTGTTCCTGTAACTGCAGAGTTCTGAACTCCACCCATTTCTTCTTCAAGGTTTGCTGAGAAAAAAGAAAAAAGTGCCAATATTAGGAAACCTCAGTGAAATACAATTTACTTCTGAGTGTTGAGATTTGTCTTTAGATTTTTATTTTCTTTCTGGCACTAACAACCTCTCTTGCTCATTTGAAAGATGTTTTTCTGTATAAAAGGCAGATATTGGGAAAACTACTTTCTCAATAAATAATTGAGTAGCACCAAGAAGTTGAAACCATGACATCATTTCAATTGGAACAATGAAAACAATAGAAACAATAAAAACAATAGACAATAGAAACAATGACATTTGTATATTTTTATTTTAAATAAATATTATAGAACCAGATTGCTTAGGTTTGTGTCCATTTAGTATCTGTTTAGACAGGGACTTTCATTCTAAGATTCTCTCATATGCAGGATGTAGATAATAATAGAACCTAAACACTGGGATTGTCATGAAGCTTAAATGAGTTAATAGATGTAAAGTGATTAGAACAGTGACTAGATTGTAGTAATTGTTAATGATAAATACCATCATCATTTTTTAAGCCTGGAGCACTAAAACTTTTTAGAAAATAAAAAGCTGTCTTTTCTGCTGGACAGCTTTTTTATTTTCTACACCATAGAGAGGAAGTCTACCTGTTCTAAGAGGCTTCCTTGGAAGGCTAAACTTAAACATTGCACAGCACCCTGACTTCTCAACTGCTTCCTTCCCCTGCTGCCCAGCACCTGAGAGCAGTGGCCCAGCGTGGGAATGGAGTGGCTGATGTGATGATCAAGTTGGCAGGGGAGGCTTGGACTAACGCATTACTGGGCTGAGGGGATGGGAATTGAAAGCCAACCAGGCAAAAAGCATCTGGCAAGGTACCACCAAAGGCTCATTCTCTCTCCTGCTCTTTGTTCTCTACCCAACCCTTTCCTTTGCCATTTCAGGGCCCCACAGCCAGCCCAGCAGGCAGGCACAGCTCAGCTTTGCCTCCGGACACCTAGTGGGAAAGGGTCCTTCAATTGATGCAACCTGGGAAGGTCAGATAAAGTCTAAAAATGAAGAGAAAAAGAAGTACATTTGAAAGGGGAAAGTCTAAAGGAAAGAAAATAATAAAATACAAGCATGTCATTAATGCTTAAGGGAAAATGGCTGGTTCCTGAATTCTGGGACTAAACAATCACTGGGCAGGATTTTCCAATCCCTGATAATATTTAGCAGCAATCCTGTGGTTGCAAATATAATATTGCAAGCAATAAATTCAAGCCATAAAATACCTGACCCCATCAAGTTCTTGTTCTCTCTGTATTATAATATAGTCCATATGGCTATAAGACTGCTGGGCTACCTGAATCCCAGCTGTTATCTGTGCACACCTTTCATCAGTCACATGGAGGTCAGAATTAGGGACCCAAGGAGTATAGTAGAACTAAAAATATCTGGCCTATATACCAACCCCTTTCTTCTTTCTTAAAAAGGCTTATCTCCTGTAAAGGAATAGAGTCTAATAGGGGAGCATGAGGCTGGCTTGATAGTCAACTAAGTAGAGAGAAGAGGAAGTTGTATATCTGCACCTACTTATCCAGAAATACAAAGTCAAGGCTTGCTACATACTGAATTTGTTTTAAAAAAAAATAAAGGTTTTAAAATATCTAATCTGTTGATCTGGCCCAGTCATCTAAGTATGTCATCACTTAAACCAAGGAAATACCAGTGTAAAGAGCAGATACGTCAAAGTGACTAAGAGTTTTTAGTTTATATCTAAGCTTCTCTATTTTCCTCAGAGTCTGTTTCTGGCTGCTATTAACATTCCAGTTGTATATTTGCACCAATTTAATCTTTCACCATTAGGAGAAAAAGCACATGGGAGATTTAACTATACTGGGCCACATCCCCTCACTATGCCCAGGTCAGTGCCTGGTATAGCAACAGCTCAATAAATACTGGTTGGGTGGACATGTAAACTAACAGCTCCCTGAAACAATATTCAACTATCACAGATTAAATATTTTGGATTGGACATATTTCTAATGTTTTCAGTCTACATGAGACACACATGTAAGTTAACTATTTCCATGGCACTTTACTACTCTATAGTGCTTTCATGGATAACTTGCTATTTAATTTTCCTAAGTGTCCAAAAATGTCCCAGATTAGAAAATAAAGGTTCAATACAGCAAAATATTTCCCAAGGGCTACAAACCCAGTCAATGACGGAACTAGATTAAAAAGTAATTCCCCCCCTAGCCCATTGGATGTACTATTTTCAGTTAAACTGTGAATCATAGGTCATGAGAAAGGGAATCCCTGAAAACACAGAGTCTTTGAGGAAACAGAATGCACCCTTACATACTAAATGTCGTTCTGTGAAGGGGAAGACAGCCTGGCCCTGGTTATAGGTCATACCAAAGAAACTTCTGGCTCAAGAGATGAACTGGAAATTTTAACATTTCAAGATTAGAAAAGGAACAGACATGCAAGAAGTAAGCAGGAATGAACCCAAAGTCCTGCTGGACCTGAAGAAACAGAAAGAGGCCACTAGGAACGTGGATCTTATGGTGATACATAGTTTAAATATACTTATGTGGCACAGGACAGAGACCAGTTTCCTACTTGAGAAAAGAACCTTGGCGGAAGCTCCAGCACCATGCAAAGGAGGCTGGGGAAAGGGTCTAATGGTGGCGATGGCTCACGTAGAGCTTGCACCTGGCGGGGCAGGAGTACATAAACGCAGCCTCATGACCCGAGCCAAGCAGCACACTGACCCTCCAGGGAAGACATCTTAGCTGCCAGGCCTGGCTCTGGGTTGATATGTATCATGGAGGCAACCGCCCAACTATCACACTGAGCAGAAGGGAGAGGCCACCATGCAAGGGAAGTGGGCAATCTAAACTTCAAAACACCTGCTGAAGTTTAGTAACAAGGACAATAAAACTGATCATCAGTATATGGATTCTCTCCAAGTAAAATGTGCCGGAGTCCAACCCCAGCAGGTCCAGGGGTCCCCAAAGGTGTGGATGGAGTCGGCGAAGAAGGAATGACATGGAGACAGCGTTCAGTTGATCAGCAGCCTAGCCAGGATCTCTAGCCAGGATCTCCAGCCAAGTTCTGGTCTGGATCTCCAGAGAGGTTCTGCTCTGGATCTCCAGCGAAGTTCTGGTTAGGATCTCCAGCCAGGTTCTATGTCCATGTTGTCTTGCTAGTTTCTCCAGCCAGGTTCTGTCCAGGTTCTCCAGCCAGGTTCAGTCACCAGGTTCTAGTCAGGTTCTCTTGCCAATTTCTGTAGTCAGGTTCAGTCCAGGATCTTTTGCCATGTTCTCTCGCTAGGTTCTGTCTCTAGGTTCTGAGGCCAGTTTCTGTCCAGGATCTTTTGCCATGTTCTCTCGCTAGGTTCTGTCTCTAGGTTCTGAGGCCAGTTTCTGTCCGGGAACTTTTGCCATGTTCTCTCCAGCGAAATTCTTCTGTCTCTAGAGAACGTTCTGTGTAGGTTCTGTGCCTAGGTTCCGTCTCTCTTGGTTCCGTATTCTAAGTTCTGTCTTCTAAGTTCTGTCTCTTGCTGTCTTGTTACATCTGTATTTATACCAGTTGATTCAATCCTATCAATCTCTACTACAAAGGTTAGGGCATTTCTTATCTCCATTCCAGGGAGTAAAGATTATGTAGCTTAAGCATGATTGTTCGTAGTTAAAGTGATTAATTACCCACCTGGCACTAGTTAAGAGGTTTTATTCCCTCCCTAACTTCAGGGGAAAATCCCTACCTGGGGAAACAACCTTTCTCAGAGACCTTGGTTAAAACACATAGTGCCAAGAAGGTGAGCAAACATATTAAGAACAGTATGCCATATATGCCAGGTCCCTTGAAACAGCAAGCATGGACCGGCTCCCGGCAAAAATGAAAATAGAAAGTGTCCAAAAAGACTTTAAAATGAGAATATTTATAATCTCCTGAGAGTTGAATGGTATCAATGTTAATAAGAAGAAGACATTTGAAACAAAAAGGAACAAGAACTGATCTACATAAAAAAAGAGCTATTTGAAAATAAAAAGATAACTTTTAATAGAAAGAACACATTCTGTACTGAACACAGACAACATTACTGAAACTATTACTAAGGAATTAAAAAAGAACATAAAAAAGATAAAGGAATACAAAATATGAAAGGGCAGATAGGCAGCCTGGAAGGTAAATCAAGGGACTCAAACATAAGGAACTCCACAAGATAATTCTGGGGACAGTCTAAAAAGGTAAGCTGACCCTTGAATAATGCGGGAGCCCCCCCACCTTTACACAATAAAGCATCTGCGTATAACCATATAACGTTTGACACCCCAAACTTAATTACTGATCGTCTACTATTGACTGGAAGCCTTTCCAATAATATAAACAGTCGATTAACACTTACTTTGTATGTTATATGTATCATATACTGTATTCTCACAATAAAGTAAACTCGAAAAAAAAATGTTAAGAAAATCATAAGGAAGCTAAAATAAGTTTAATGTACTGTGCTGTATTTCTGATGCCATAAGTTTACACAGCCTGATTATAAGATGAAAAATAATCCATGTGTAAGTGAATCCATGCAGTTCAAATCCATGTTGTTCAAGGGTCAACTATCTATTCAAAGGTATCAAGCTGATAGTTTTCTAAAACTAAAGACAGTCACCAGTGTTTAGATGCAAAGGGCACTGAAGTTCTAAGCTCTATGCAGTATATATTTAGAAATGAATCCATATGCAGTCACATTGAGGTGAAACTTTAGATTGGTAAAGACAAAAGAACAGCTGAAAAGCAATCAGCAAAAGATAAAAAATTGGCACAAATTGAAATACTGTTTTTTAAAAGACTCAACAATCCTCTAGAGAGAGTTACCAAGAAATAAAAAGATGAGAAGGCATAGAAAGTAGTACAAATAAAAATGAGGACCTAATCAGTTGTGATAGAAAAGAAAAAAAAAAAAACAAAAATAGAATTTTATTAAAAACTTCATGCAATTATTTAGACTTTATTAACAAAAAGATAATTTGACAAAATTGGCTCCAGAAAAACCACAACACCCCATAAAACAGAAAGCTTACGTAATTTTATAACTAATAAAGAAACTGAAACAATTTAAAAGTATTCCCACCAAAAAAAAAAACTTCCAGCCCTGATGGTTCAGATAGTGTTACAAATATTCTACAGAGAACAAAAAGGGAACATATTCCCTAGCTCACACTAGGAGGCCAGTAAATGTGATACCAAAACTAAAGACAGAGTAAGGGAGGAAAAATACAGGCCATTCTATCTGAAAGTGAAGCTACCTTCAGATATCCTTAAGAAAATGTTAGCAAATCAAATCTATAAGTTTATAAAAAAGATTATAAATTATGGATCAGATTGGGTTTGTTTTAGAAATTCAAGGGTGGCTTTACATTAGAAAACCTTTAAATGTCATTCACCATATTCACCATATTTTTTTTAAATAAAAAAAATGAGATGACCATCTTAACACATGCAAAAACAGATATTTGGTAAAGTTTAATATACAAGCCCTATAAAACTACCAGCAAACTTGGTATAGAAGGGAGCCTCTTTAACCTAAAAAGTATATTCATAGAGATAGCTCATTGCTAACATGAAAGAGGCAAAAAATTCCCTTTTTAAAGTCAAGAACAAAACAAGGATTTCTACAATTACAGTTTCTATTCACCATTATATTGCAGGCCCTAGTTACTAAGAAAAAGAACTAAATGTCATTCTTAACAGATAGTTATTATCTTTATAGCAAGCCTCCAAATATCTATAGATAATTTATTAGAAATTATACAGTTTAGCAAGTTGTTTGAATATAGCAATAGCATAGAAAATGTTATTTTACATATCTATACTTAAATCTCAATCAAAATATTAATTTTAAGTAAAGAAACTATAGAAACAAAATCATAAATTATAAAATAATAAATCTAACAAAGATTTATAGAATCTTTTATTTATTTCAAAAACATTTTATAATTTATTCATGCAATTATATATATATGCTATATTTATTCTTAAGTACCTTCTAATTTTTCTTTCTTAATAAATATAATATTTTAATATTAAAAGATTTTTAACTTATTGTTACTGGTTTTTAAATACAATAGTCTTGATGATCTCTCTTTATTTTAATAAAATGTTTATAGATTTCCTTAGATTTTTCTGTATAGTTATAATTTTTTTGTAGATAAAGTTTTGTCCCTTTACCTCCAATCATTAAACTGTGTTTGAAATAAGAAAAGTAAAAACTATAAAGATGTCAATTGATTTTATTTATTCTATATATGCAATTCAATTTCTATGAAAATCTAAACGAAAATTTTCCCCAAAGAATTTTACAAATTGATTTAAAAAAATAATAGGTATAAGCAAAATAGCAAGATGTTGACAAAGAAGAAAACAGGTCTTGTTGATTAATTAGATGTGGGGGAAGTGAATACAAGATTAAATATAAATACTGTATAGTAACTCCATCCTCAATGGAGTTAATACTGATGAATAGTAATTAATGGGCTCAATAATTTAGAAGTGCATACTTCATAAAGAAAACTAATAAATGGCAGCTATCGCTATACAAAACCCAAGTGAGCAACCTGTCTACAGCAAACCCTGCGATCCTTGCTCAGAGGGGCTGCAGCCCCGGGATACAGAGTCCTTGGAACCGGGCCGGGGTCTGCAGGGCTCTGACCCAGGTACACATGAGTGAGGTCTGAACTTCATGGCCTGGCAGAACCCCTCCAGTCTACTAAGACTTTAAGACCTTCAAAGAGCCATACCAGAAAATTTTCACTGAACATCCTACACTATGCACTTCTCCTCAAAGCTTTATTTTTTCCTCTTCAAAGTTGATTGTGTGCTTGCCAGTGAAAGCAGATTCAAGGACAGCCAAAGGAGTACAGGGAGATTATTTTTGTGGTAAGAATGAGGCAGAATGGAAGGACACAGAGGAAGACAATAGGAAGCAAAACTTCCAGGCCCTCTGCACACACACACACACACACCAACACACACACACACACACAGCACTTGGGAAAATGACAGAGACCAGCTCCTCCTTCTTTGTTCCCCCTCACCTACCCCACACAAAATGTAAATCAAGAGAGAAAAGTGCATTAATGAAATGTTCTTCAATTGATGTGCCTTCCTGTTGCCTTTCTGAGCCTCATAGACACACAGAAAGAGGGAGGAAATGATTTGCGCTGGTTTGTGAAATTTAATATGCCTGCAAAGCCAATTGTCTGTCTCTTGATAACTCAGCAGTTTAGACTCATCATGACATTTCATCCTCAAGGGCTATCTCAATTCCTCAAATAGATCTTCATCCTACCACTCACACATTCAAGGATGAAAAATGTTCCTCACTGTATTAAATTAAATTACCTTTAAAATTTGCAGCTTTGCTTCAAGCTCGGCTCTCTTGAGAATTGCTGTTCCATTAAGAGTCTCTATCCTGTTTTAAGAAAAAAAAACGGAGGGGAGGAGAAGAGCATGAGTGATTCATTCAAACAAGTACCATCCTTATGAAGCACTACAATTTAAACTCAGGCTCCTTAAAACGCAACATAAACGTTAAGATTCTCCTGGCACTATAAGTATCTGGACCTACTTCAAATCTTCTAACAACATTCAGAGAAAGAAAATGGGGGAAACAAACAAGCAAAAAAAACCTCCCCTGCAGAGGGTGACTGAAAGAATTTGGTGAATTTGTCAATTGTAGCTCATTTTATAGAAGCCCCTGTATGAGGATGGTGGTTGTTCTCTACTAGAATCTATTCTTGTGGGGTCTGGCTGAATCACCTCATCCATTTAGTGAATATTTATTGGACATCTACTATGTACCAGACTTTGGACACCATGCTAAGCATGAGGAATATAGCAATAAGAATAGCAAGCAATAAGAATAACAATAAGAATTTCAAACAGTGGCATCAACATGCTATTCCTTGAAGGGAAAAAATCTTTTCCTCACTAACATGTCAGGAGCTTTTACATCTGTAAATTGTCTTCACTTTGGAACGAGAACAAAGAAAACCAGAACTACTATCAGTTAGTAACCTTCATATGACTCTCTCATCTCAAAACCTTTTAAGCTCACACACTTCAATCCTAGAATTATCTACTTAATAGTGTTCTTTCTCCCTATACCTTTCTAAAAATAAAAAGACTTGTTCTATCCTGAGTGATTTGATTTGTTTTGTGGGCACAAGTTAAGGCCTTTATTTTCACTGTTAAGCCATCAATCTGAATAAGATAAATTTTATGTGTGAGTCACACACCTAAACATTTTTAAAGTATTGGTTCAAATTCCTTCTATAACTCTCTAAAGATGCAAGAATTTTTCAAGGCATGGTAAAATATAAGCATTAAATGTGGAGATCAATTTTCCTCAATTTCTAATAGCATAATACCCAAGATAATGAAATGATAGCAAGCCAAGACATTATCTGCTTCCTCATTAGAGCAGTCTTGATTGTGAGCAATGGTGAGGATCCCTGCAAATCTGTTCCATTGGGATTTTTAATGTCAATCTGACCTGCCCAAGCAACAGATGTCTATGGGAAAAACCTCAGGCCTAGATTGGCTGCTCTCTTCAGTATTAGTATAGACTATCATTTTCCTGATCTCTGACTTTCCCACTGTCTCCAGCCATTACTCCTTAGATATCTCCTGACGCTTACATTAGGTTTAGTTAAGAACAATCTTCTGGTGCTGATAGAAGACTGATTCCAACTCTGTGGATCCTATGAGTTCAGGTAAAGAGAAGCTTGAATCTGCAAGGCAGAAACCATATACAGTCCAAGAGAAAATGCCGGTAGTTGGACTCAGTCCTCTATCACCAGCAGTCATCTTCCAAAACTACTAGACACACCCAAAACATCCTTTGAAGTTTTAGACCACAATCACTGAAGAGTAGCCAGTGGATTTTCTATTGGCAGCTTACAATGAGCAGCTGTGCTGTGGCTGAAAAGAAGAGATCTTGGCATCCGGAGCAGGTGGTCAAATCCCAGCCCTGTGACTTACTAGATGGTTGATCTTAACTAAACCTCGTTTCAGTCTCAGTCACTTCACCTATAAATAGGAATAAAACTAACCTCATGAGGTGGCTCTGAAGAAGAAATGAGAAAATATAGGATCTAACATAATCATAATAAATCCTAAACTACCTAGCCTGGTTGATAGACCCATACTCTGCCCCCAGACCAACTCCCTGTCTTTGTTGTTGTTAATCTGCACCCAAAGAAATCTTTCCCATTGATTTTTAGAGAGAGTAGAAGGGAGGGAGGGGAAAAGGGAGATGAAGAGAAAGAGAGAGAGAGAGGGAGAGAGAAAAAGAGAGAGAGAGAGAGAGAGAGAGAGAGAGAGAGAAAGAGAAAGAGAGAGAGAGATGTGAGAGTGACATATCCATTGGTTGCCTCTGGCACAAGCCCCAACAGGGGCCAGGGACCAAACTTGCAACCCTTGACCAGGAATCGAATCCATGAAACTTCAATATATGAGCCAACTATCTAACCACTGAGCACACTGTCCAGGGCTCAACTCCCTACCTTCATCCCTTATTATATTCCCCCTAAATCACCAACCACGAATTACACTGGCTTTCTTTCTCTTCCTTGGATGTGCCAAGCCCATTTTGACTACTTAGAGACCTCTCTCTTTACCTTAAATGCTCTCTCATGAAGAATTCATATAATCATCCTTCTCTTCATTTAAGTCTCAGCTCAAAGTCCACCTCTTCAGAGAGGGCCATTTTAAACACCTAGGCTAAAGTATCAGCCCTCTTACTCAATGTTCTAACCCATACCTTATTGTACTTGCTTCATAGCAATTATGGATAATTGCAATATCAACATTATTTATTTTTGCAGGTTTTTCTTATCCATCTCCTTCCATCTCCCCTGAGCCTATCACAGTGCTGGAAACATAATATTTGCTCAAGAAATACCATTTTAACAAACGAGTGAAATCCATCTTTTAACTAAATACTAAAGTTTTATTAGGTACTAGGGATGGTATAGTTGAAAAAATAAATCTCCAATAGGGGAGACCAGTGCCCCATTATTAAGTCTGAAATAGTAGCAGGGGTGAGTGCGCACGCATGTGTGTGTGTGTGTGTGTGTGTGTGTGTGTGTGTGTGTGTGCAGGGTGGGGAGGGCTGTCAGACTTGGTTCTTCCTTCCAAATGGAACACTCGATGAGAAAAACTATTGGCTTGTGGTATAAAATGAAAAACTCAACCATTCTGACCTTTTGTTTGTTCTAACCACAAGTTCATATCAGCCATGGAAATTGGATCATTTTTTGTCTATCCAAAGAAAAGGAGTGCCAATTTAATTGAATTTAATGTTATTTTTTAAAATACTCTCCCTCCCACTTGGATGTTTGGGCTATCGATGTCCTCTGACTTCAGATGTTGACAACATGTTCAAGTTTGAGGAAACCTTGAGAAACAAAAGGAACTGATAAAAATGTCTGTATCCAGTTCCAAAGCTATGGTGCACTGCCTCCCTTCTTAGGAACCTGAACAATAAGTCTATTCATTCACTCAACAGGCATTATGAGAGACTGTAACATTTCTGAAGCCCCATGGGAAGCAGATGGATAGTTACGTTAGCAGGTTTCCTGACGATCTGATCAGGTCAACAACTTGCTTGTGGGTAAAGCCTTCTGTGCCCACACCATTGATATTTGCAAGGATATCACCTAGGAGATGCCAAGAAAAAAAATGAGTGTTAATGTGATTGGTTAAATAATCCTTCCTGACATGCAAACGAAGAAAAACAAGCAAGCCTCAAACCTTAGCAACATAAAGGCACTAAGAAAATCCAAAGCAACAATACTGTCCTGACCTTCACTATCAAAAAGTTTTCTCTTCTTGCTATTTAAATAATTCTTAACATGAGCAAAGCTGTAAGTTACCGGCTTGCAGGCCAGCACAGTGCGCTGGGCTGTCCTCCTGGATTTTGCAGATCAGAGTGCACAGCTCTGAGGTGCAGGTGTTCTGGTTCTGGAGCCTGTAAGTCTGCAAAAATTCAAGTGAGACATAATTACTATTACAAAAACTCAAAATCTATTTGCCAAAAAATAAAATGGTGTCAGTTGTGTAAGTGGTATAATGGTAGATGCAAAGAACAATTTGGAAAGGCTTTCCTGAATATAAACTGAATCAAATAGACCTGTGGTCGGCAAACTCATTAGTCAACAGAGCCAAATATCAACAGTACAATGATTGAAATTTCTTTTGAGAGCCAAATTTTTTAAACTTAAACTATATAGGTAGGTACATTGTTATTAACTTAATTAGGGTACTCCTAAACTGGCCTTTGCTAAAAACGTCCTCAATCTGAGGGGTTGACCTCAGCAAACATACCCCACTTCTTCTAACACCCCTTCTTCAAAATAGACTCGCCCAGGCCGAAAACCGACTTCTGCGCATGGGCCACGAAGTTTCAATCGCACTGCAGGTGTGCGCCCGCACATGGTATTTTGTGGAACTGCCACACTCAAGGGGCCAAAGAGCCGCATGTGGCTCACGAGTGGTGGATGAGCCACTGGTGGTCGGCAAACTGTGGCTCGCGAGCCACATGCGACTCTTTGGCCTCTTGAGTGTGGCTCTCCCACAAAATACCACGTGCGGGCGCGCACATACAGTGCAATTGGAACTTGTGGCCCATGCACAGAAGTCGGTATTTTGTGGAAGAGCCACACTCAAGGGGCCAAAGAGCCGCATGTGGCTCGCGAGCCGCAGTTTGCCAACCACCGAAATAGACCAATTTTGCAATCCTACCAGATAATCTTCAACCAACCCCATTCATTAAAAAAAACCTGCCTAGAGAAAAAAAGTGGGATAATACTGGCTCAAGCTTTTATATTTTCAGGCCTAAGAGACCACCTGATGCTCTCATTATGGCATATTTCTTGAGGAAAATTAAGTTTCTCATTTCCCAAATGGGATTAAAAAAAATGGTGGCCAATATCAAAGAGAAAGATGTCCCTGAGGATCTCCCATGCTAAAATACTTGCTACAGGAGACGACAAAATAGTCCATGTCCAGCAATGGAGCTATGCCAACAATAATTATTTTACATTAGGGTTCTGCAAATAATGACAATCTGCCCTGCATTCATTCAAAAGTACTATAATTGACTCAGCCACCTTCATTTCTGAGGACTTGCTGGTACACCTGTCTTGAATAATCACTGGTTCATTAGTCACCCAACCAAATCAGAAAACGTTATGCTTCACATCTTGCCTCAATTTGGCAAGAGCAGGTTGTTTTTGTTTTTTAAATTATACCAAGAGCACTGCATACATGTTTGCTAGATGACTTATAGCCCAACACAGGTAAATTATGGGGTCTAGCTCCATTTAGACTCAAAATCACCATTCTGATTCCTAAAATTAAACCACATTCCAGTTCTGCCTCTTTATGAAGGAATTAATATCTGATGAGTATTCCTTCTTATATTTTAATATGTTTTTATTGATTTTTTAAGGAAAGAGGAAGGAAAAAGGATAGAGTGATGGAAACATCAGTTGACTATTTCCTGCATGCCCCCTACTGGGGATTGAGCCTGCAACTCAGGCATGTGCCCTGAGTGGGAATCAAACCAGTGACCTCCTGGTTCATGGGTTGATATTCAACCACTGAGCCACACTAGCAGGATCCTTCTCATTAAAAAAAAAATATGTTGTTATTTTTATTGATTTTAAAAAGAGAGGAATGAAGAGGGAGGGAGAGAGTGAGAAACATTGATGTGAGAGTGACATCAATTGTTTGTCTCCCATACGCACCCCTACTGGGCATCAAACCTGCAATTTGGGTATGTGCCCTGACTGGGAATCAAACCAGTGACTATGCTTAACCAACTGAGTCACACTGGCCATGGCTCATTCCTTCTTATTTTACAGACTTACAAGCTCTAGAACCAGAAGGTAGTCATGTGCAAGCAACTTCTAGAAATTTGACTTTGTTAAAATGTAAGGTTCTAGTCACTCAAGAAGGCATTTAGAATCCCCATATCTTAAGGTAAAAGGGACTTTTAGAGGTCACATAATATATTTCCCATCTCTCTAAGACACCCTTTAACAGTTTTTCTGCCAGGAAGTCTTGCCACAGCCAGACCTTTCCAGCCCAGACCTTTCTGGTACAAGAACTATAGCTATAACAGACACTCCATTTGGAAACCACTGTTATACCAACTCTATTAGCAGTGAAAATGTGCCCTCCAGGTCCAGGGATGAAAAATAAGTGCAGGGAAGGAGAAATGTTTGCCAACTGCTATAAAATTTGTGGGTTAGAGATAGGAAAGAAAAGGCAGAGGCCCCAAAGTTATAGGAAGAAATAACTAGTTGTATACCTCTCTCTCTCTCTCTCTTTCTCTCTCTCTCTGTCTTCTGCTTTCACATTTAATAGCAAAACCAATCCTTAGAGACACAAAAGTCACATTGCCCTTTCTCATACCCAATGACCTTCATTCTAACACTTGTCATTTGCTGATCTTCTACTGGTACAGACACATTACTAAGTATTTTGTATGTGTTATTTCATTTGAAATTCCTAAAACCCCCACGAGGCAGGTGTACCTGAATCTAAAGTCCGTGCTTCTATCATACTCTATGATCCTCACTAGCAGCATATGAGTGGCAACCCATGGAAAACCAGAGAGGACAGTGAGGTTGTTCTCTTCTAACCACCCCTTCCCTTGGTAGACCAGGACCCACATAGGTGTTAACATTATGAGCACATGAGGTTCTGTCTGGTCTTCAGAAAGTTCCCATGGCATTTCCTCTATTCAATGAATATGCAAATATTGTAAGTACTAGAGAAGAGACACCGCAGGGAGCTGGTAATGGAAAGCATACACCCAAAAAGAATGTCCAGAGGAGTGAGTTCCTGCAGTACCGAGATAACACATAGGTGCTCCAGTTCAGAAGTGAAGCCATTAGCTCATGTTGAGCTACAAAGGTTCATGGTGCTGTAGGATGTGATCTATTAGTGACCCTTGCTCCACGTGGAATGTGTGTTTATGGTATGGGGGAGACAGATGGGGGGCAGTGACATGTCATAGAAGCATGAGAAAAAAATTCCTATTTGTCACTTTAAATAAGGGTATGTGAGCAACCACTGATCCTGCTTTCAGTAGCAATGGCTGCACATCCTTGTGCATAATTCTCATTTAAAAAAAGCAATCACAAAACGTACAGTCTCTGCAATAGATCAGGGGTTGTTTTGTGTGAATGGGGAGAAAGCATAGTACTGCTTTTAGAAGCATAGTACTGATGGAAGAATTATAGATTTCCCCAAATTTTAAAATAGAAGAGGTCAGAAAACAGAAGGTATCTTCTGTTCTCCTACCGCCGCTCTATGTTCATTGAAGATAGAGTTCCATTTTGTTTCTTTATTCATAAAGCATGCTTTACTTAGCAGCTTCCTGTTCCTTATCTTAAAATACACGCTGACTTTCCAATTGTGGAAAGTCACCAACGTTTTCTGAAAGCAGCACCAAAGCTAAAACCTAAAAGATGATGTGCAGTATAAGAATATGATTGTGCAAAATACATCTAAAAGAACCACAAAAGTGTAATGGAAAAATACACACTGCTAATACTTAAGCTACTACTGTACTTAATTGCATTAGACTTCATTTGCCCAAACTCATCATCTTTACAAATATGGCCATTTAAAAAGCAGACAACAAATAAGAACTGAAATTCTTTGGCTATTACATGGAAGTTTATAGACTGTTTTAAAAATTTCCCAGGTTACGAAGCACTATGCAAATAGAGCAATGTTTTTAAGTATTTCAAATAATTACAAAGTCTCATCATTAATATAAAAGGGCAAATTTGTCATAAAATAATTTTTTTCCAAAATGTAGTAAGAATTATACATGAATGCAGTCCATATATACAAGCATATATGTTTTCAAGGATTTCTTAAATATCAAAGTATAGATTTAAAATCTGACATGTAGTATAAAAATCATTAGGCAAAGACAGCAGACAGGCAAATATTCAAAATACACATCTATGAAGATTATTTCTCTCTCTTAGTTAAGACTTGCCATGGAACATATGTAATACTTTCAACAATAAAGATAAAATAAAAAGACCTGGATGACATCAAGCATTTCTGATCAGTCTCAGGCTTTCATGGAGACTGAAGCAACTAAGAACAAAGAGTTGAGCAAGTCTCAGGGGTTTTATTTTATGTGTTTCAATGTTTTCTTTCCTAGATCGTCCCAAAGACACTAAAGAACTACCAAGATAACTACACATTGAATAAAAATCAGAGTCTCCATCATTCTCTACTTCATTCTTACTTTGCAAATATCATGACACTACTAGTGCCACTATCTTTATGAAAAGTTTGAAAACTGCCCACCTGAATTTCAAATCCAAATGTTCCATTATCCTGCTTCTCCACAGTAACAAGCTTTCTGTAATAAAATATTTAAAAAAGTTTTAAAAATGATGCATAAAGATCAAAGTATCATATTTGTCACATACTTATTGAAAATGAAAAACAGCCACAATTTAAAATAGCTGACATTTATGTAAATTGTAGTATTGTAACTGTGTGTGTGTGTAAATAAGTCTGGAGAGCTGTGTTCCTAAATATGTTGATGAGAGACCAAAAAAACAAATAAATCTCTTTACCTTTGAGACCAGGCAAAATCACCTAAAGAACTTGATCTCGTCAAAGCAAGCTGAAAAATACAACAAACACACCATTACCAAAAGGTCCTTAAGACACATCTGTAAATGTTTTAAATCACAAAGAACTTTGCTTTTTATTACCTTCTTTGGCTCAGCTCAAAGAAGGTAAAGGCAGTAATTTCCATTCCTTAGTGGTAGCACAGGAGAGCTGGCAAAGGGAGGCCCAAGCATTCTTTTTAAAAGATTTAAAAAAGCTCTGATAATAATACACTGTGGCAAGAGTCAATGTAATGTGGCAAAACTCCAAAGCTTCCCAAAAAGAACTTCATATCTAATCTGTATTAAAAATAGACTCAGAGAGATTAACCATAGCAATTAAAAATAGACTCTGAGAGATTAACCATAGAGATTAATCACACTGAAATCCAAAGAAAAACAGCACCCAGAGAACGGCATGCAAAACCCAAATACTTAATCGTTTTTGGAGATGCTGATGAAATGACTGCGTTTATAGTAATAGTTACTTCAAAATGTTACTTTTTAAAAGCAGGTTAAAGTATGCTCTTAAGAACCGATTCATATGCAGAAATATAACCCAGGTAAAGCCAAACACTCAAAACCTCAATTCTGTTTATGATTTATTTTTGTAATAGTTTTGGAAGAGTGCAGTGAGATTTCCAGCCAAGGAAGAAAAGGGAACCTCGGAATGGTCTAAATGGCATAAAGAATATCACCTTCACTTTATGTTTTGGAAGAAGATCATATACACATAAAATTCCAAAATACATTCAACCATTGTCAATTGAGGAAAAGCTGACAAAAGGTGGCATCTAGATTTTTTTAAAATGTATTTTTATTGATTTCAGAGAGGAAGGGCGAGAGAGAGAGAGATAGAAACATCAATGATGAGAGAGAATCATTGATTGGCTGCCTTCTGCACGCCCCCCACTGGGGATCGAGCCCACAACCTGGGCATGTGCCCTTGACTGGAATCGAACCTGGGACCCTTCGGTCCACAGGCTGACACTTTATCCACTGAGCCAAACCGGTTAAGGCAAGCATCTAGATTTTTAGGTGTTTTTCTAAGTGATCAAAATGAGTTTCTGTGTGTGTTTTGTTTATTTGTTGAGGAATTAACAAATGTTAATTAGCCTTTTCTCAAGTGTTGGTCCTGGGGCCCTACACATAAACATTCATGCTCCAAGCTTACCCATGATGTTTCGCTGTCAACCTAACATAAATTGTCAGGAGATCAATGCATACTGAGTCTAAACAAACACAAATAAAATAGAGAAGAAAAACTGGAAGGAGAAAAACTCATAGAAGGAATTAATGCACAAAAGAAACCCTCATTAAGGCATTTGTTAGGAGAGAAGCCCACAGCCCTGTAAGGAACTGGAATTACCTAGTACCGGATGCCAACATTCTGACACATTTTCTGGAACACTCAGTATTAGGGCAGAGTTTGGCTGCTGGTCAGTAAAGTTAATGTAATGGAGCGCTGGTTTCTTCCCACCGAGTTGATGTAAATTAATTACATCTTTCTTTTGCGTCAGTTCTGAACCTCAAATCATTTATATCATCCTGTAGTAGCAATAGAAAGGCTCAGACACAAAAAGATTGTCTTGAGTTGCTGCAAAGTATTTATTTGCAACTTATAAAGACTGACTGTGGAAGAGCTACAACAATGTGCATGGTTTATTTCAGCCTGATTTTGTCCTGGGAAGTATCAATAAGAAGAGTGGGGACCATTAAGCTGTGTAGTAGGCGAACTTCTGGTGGAAGAGAGCAGGAAACGATATTCCCGAGCTTTCTCAATCTTTCCCTTACATTGTTTCTCTCATTTTCTTAATCTGTTTTTATTATTTGCATCTCATTGGCTTTTTTTAAAAAATATATTTTATTGATTTTTTACAGAGAGGAAGGGAGAGAGATAGAGAGTTAGAAACATCGATGAGAGAGAAACATCGATCAGCTGCCTCCCGCACATCTCCTACTGGGGATATGCCCGCAACCCAGGTACATGCCCCTGACCGGAATCGAACCTGGGACCTCTCAGTCCGCAGGCCGACGCTCTATCCACTGAGCCAAACCGGTTTCGGCCTCATTGGCTTTTTTATCCTCTTTCAAGTTGTAAATTACTTAGGGAGGCCATATCTATGTTATCTATAATCATAACCAGGGTTTATATTTAAAAATATGACTCTTGCTTTTAGTTAGCAGATTAGTCATAGCATTGATAGGAACCTCAAGATTTCATCTGGTCCACCCTCATCCTACCTTCTAAATAAAAAAAAATCATTCTAGATAGATCAAATCTAAGATTTTTTAAATCTACACGACAACTCCAAGACCTAAAGAAGAGGGATCATAAACTCAACCCCAGGCATCTTTCTATTAGTGGCTAGCAAGGGGTTAAAGAACTTTGGGTACTCAGCAGTCTCAATTGAATCACCAAATTGCTAAACCTAGTGTTCTCATATTATGTGTAATAAGAGAAGGAAATTTCCCCACCTCTCTCCTGCTACCCTTTCCATCTAGCTAATTGACTCATTGAAAATGAACATTTTTGCCTAGGACAATGTTAGAGGCATAGCGGGTACTCAGCTCCTGTGGACTGACTGATTTGGGTTATCAGTGACATGCCCAAAAATCAGACTAAGCCAAATTATAAATTAGTTTCCACTCTGGGTTAGTGGGGAGCCTGTTTTAGGGACCTAACATTTAAATAAGAAAAACAATTTAAATATAGTGGCACCATCAAATTCCCTGACCCATGCCACTTCTTGGCACAAAGACTACTTGCTTTTGATCAGGGCTGTCAGACGCACGTGATGTGGAAAGGAATGTTCTCAGGGTTCAAACTTGCTCTCACCCCAAGCTACCTGCCTCAGTGAGAAGAAGTCTGCCTAAGGTCTTATTAGAGGTCTGACACTCGGGAAAAAGTGTTCCCTGCAGCCCTTTCCCAATGTGAGCAACCCTGTTCTAGGACCTAACTAGAGGAGTCTCTACTCCCAGCCTGCCCTCCGGAGTCTTTTCTCAGGGTGGTGGCGACGGCACCAAAACTCATGAATGAGGCGCTGGTGCGGAATGAACAGCATATGCTGGCAACAGCTGTCTTTTATTACACATTATCTAATATGAGAACGCTAGGTTTAGCAATTTGGCAATTCAGTCGCGACTGCCGAGTACACATAGCTCTTTAACCCTTGCTAGCCACTAAGGCAGAGATGCCTGGGCTTGGGTTTATGATCCCTCTTCTTTTGGTTTTAGTCAGATGACTTAACAATCAGGCGTTAATATTCAAGATGTAATTTTTCCTGCTGGACAGTGATTTACAATGTCCCTTATTAGTGGGAAACCAAGACCAAATGCTCCAGCTGTCAGCTTGCAGAAGAGGAATGAGCCATGAGCCGTAGCTCAGTCAGATTGCCTGTCAGGCTCAGAGGAGCTCAAAGGTCAGTACTGTAGCCACTCCTGCTGTTAAGTAACAGAGCGCTACTTCCTGGTCTGGTCCCCGCTGTGTACTCACTTCCTGAAAGCATTGAGGGAGGAGAGAGAGGGGAGGCACTCATGCATAGGTGAGGAGTGCTTTTGTTTGTTTGTTTGTTCGTCTGTTTCCAAAGTTCCAAATCATGTGCTCTGCGCCCTTTCCTGTCCCCTGCCTCACTCGCCCCAGTTCTTGCATGAATACAGCTTGCTTGCTTTTCCCTTTGAAAGCAGGATTCTTGGGATACCAAGGCTGTGCAGATGACTCTACGCTACAGGGAAATAAAGGCATTGAACTCAATTGTTTGACTTGTAAGTGCCCTTAAGGAACCCAAAGAGGGTGGCAGCTCCCCAGGAAAGTCTCATGGTGAGCTCAACAATCCCTTTTCTCAGGAAGAACTTTTGGAACTTGGCTCCCAGCATGCAACAATATGGATCAGAGAAGATTTTTCCAATTCTTTTGTGGTGAAATTAACAGTTTTCTACCTAAAATGATTCATTCAATGAGCAAAATACCTCCAAGTTAGGAGTAGCACTTGGGAGTTTTGGTAACAGATGGGTGTGCAGCCACAAATAATGTAAAAGCTCCTCACGGGCAGGACCCATCCCAGAAATACACGCATTACAGAGTTGAGCACAATAGTCCGTATCTGAAGTTTTAAGTAAAATCACCCTCCCGGAAGTTGTCTGTTTAGTAATACAATTGACCTCGAACAACATGGGTTTGAACTGTGCAGGCCCATTATATGTGGATTTTTAAAATAAATAGTGTAAATGTATTTTCTTTTCCTTATATTTTTTAATATTTCTCTAGCTTACTTTATTATAAGAATACATTATATAATACATATAACTTACAACAAGAGATGTGTTAATCAATTTTGAACAACAAACACACATCTATCAACAAGTGAATCTGAAAATCAAGTGAATAATCTGACGAACAGAATGAACTGGTGATTATAATAGAATCAGGGACATAGAAAGGGAATGGACTGACTATTCTTGGGGGAAAGGGGTGTGGGGGATGCGGGAAGAAACTGGACAAAAATCATGCACCTATGGATGAGGACAGTGGGTGGGGAGTGAGGGCGGAGGGTGGCGTGGGAACTGGGTGGAGGGGAGTTATGGGGGGAAAAAGGGGCAACAACTGTAATAATCTGAACAATAAAGATTTAATTAAAAAAAAGAAAAAAAGAGATGTGTTAATCAACTGTTTATGCTCTCAGTAAGGCTTCTTATCAATAGTAGGCTCTTTAATAATTAAGATTTGGGGATCAAAACTTATACACCAATATTCAACCGTTAGCACCCTTAACCCCCACGTAGTTCAAGGGTCAACTGTCATTGGACAACCAAGGGAAAAGCAGGCCAAGGGGTTCAGTGTGTGCACCACTAGTGCATATTCAAGCTTCTCACAGGTCAGGCCCCTGGCCTCACTACAGCATTTGGTAAAAACTGTTTTCGAGGAGCAACCCTAGTGCTTGGGCATTCCAACATTTCTAAAGATTTGCCTTACGGTCCCCAGTCTCCTTCCTACAGTGTTTTCCATTGTAGGTATTTTTCCCCCTAACACTGTATTCAGAAATAGAAGTAGGAACTGCACCGGGGTGTCTGTCACCTCTTTCATATACAGGTAATGAGATAAATTTGCACACACAGAAATCTTTTTTAAGCAATTCTGAGTGTAAACACCCAAATGATTCTGAAGATGCATCTGAAACTACAGGCTAACCAGATACGGCTTTGCAGAAACCAAAGCCAACAATAACGAGAAGTGTGAATTGTTGACGTCAACCCTGGGAGGGTTGAAAATAACAGCGGGCAGAGAAACACCTGCTCTTGTGGTGGCCTCCCAGAGATCTTGTTGCCTACAATCCAGTCAGAGCCAAGTGGGTGATTATTCTCTAAAAACCAGTTCAAGGAAATGGACCTCCTTTTGGAAAATTGTGTAATGCTGGGATTAACTTGCAACAAGTCTCATTGATGATAGTTGTATAGAATCAAAAGTATTATGTACAAGAGTTTTGTCTTGCCTTTTTTTTTTAAGGTAATTCTCATAACAGTAAGAAAAAGCTATTTGACTAGGAGGAAGGACCATGAGAAAAGGGAGAAGAAAAGACCTAGAAAAGATGAGAACATACAAATAAATTTATTTGGGTGAGAATATATGTGTAAGTATATATATTATACACATGTAAACATATACACATACTTGTGTGCATCTCATATCCTGAAATCCTTCTCTTCTTCCAGTAACCTCCTACTGATTGCCCTTTTACAGTTCATGCTGTCTTCACTCAGGCTTAAAATCCAAAGGTCCCTCTTCCATCTTCATTGCCTTTGGTACTCAAAACTTTGGGTCTCCTCTCCATTCCCTCCATTTCTTCTTTCTCCAACGAGTGCAAGAGTTGCTCCCTCACCACTAGTCTCTATCCACTTATCCACAGACCACATTTCCAGAATAAGATTCCTAAGTCCCTCTGCTGCTCAGACACACTCAATGGCTCCCTGTGCTGCTCAGATTGCTGCTGCCTCAGGGGGAGTGTCCAAGTGTTTTGCAAAGCAGCCCATCTCTGAGGTCTCTCCTCACCTCCCACACAGACACTAGGTCCTCCTGACCCAATAATGTGTCCTTCCCTAAACATTCCCTGAAGACCCCAAGATCTGTGCTTCAGCAGTAATTATTCCTTTGTTCTGGAATTCCAACATCTGGAATATCTCTCCTTCAAAGTTGTATTCAAAAACACATAGTATTTGGATTCAAGTATTTATGCTGTTTACTTTGTATAACACCTACTCATTCTCCTGCTTCATTGTAAACCCAATAAGGACAGGAAACATGTTCTTCTCGTCTATTATACCTCCTATACTGTTCTTTTTCTGAAAACTAAATGAAGATTTTGGTACTTCCAATAGTTGCTTTTTTTTCATACAGGTAGTAAATTGATGGACATGCTCATCATTATGTTAAATTTAACATCATAAAAGCACTTTTGCATTGAAAAAATTGATAATCCAAACCATGGCAAATGATACCCTTATCTTCATTGTGAAAAATCCCAAGGAATCAGCTACATACATCACTGAGAAAAGATCATGACTCCCACTATGTTCTACTCTCTAATTCCAAAAGGCTTACATGGAGAACATGATACATTTGCAACATTTAAGGGCAAATTTTATGCTCTAAAACAATTGTAAGTATTTTCTGCACAACTCTTATGGCTAAATTCAGATATGTACTTAGGGCATTATAGCAGGTTAAATAACTAAAGCAGTGTTATGGTTTTAATTTTTTTTTAATTGGAAGTCAAAGAATAAAAAATGTTTATAATAAATCCAGTTAAACATGGGATTTTTCCTAATGTGTTTCCCTCTCTGGGGAAATACTTTGCAGTAAAAATAAAAATAATAGCATAATTATTGAGCATATACTGCATTTCAGTCTCGGTGTTAAGCGCTGCATATTTCTCACTTAAGCAGCTGAAGAGCCGCATGGGGTGGTTCTATTATTATCGTCACTTTAGGAAAAAGAAACCTGAATCTTAGGGAGGCAAGTGACTTGTCCAAGATCCCACAGCTCTTAAGTGACTGGACTGTTGTGCAATCTGCACTCACTTATCTAATACAAATATTTTCCAGAGCATGAGGCATGTGCCCATGCCTCAAAGCTGAAGATAATTCAGTCCACGAAACTTGTCCTCCAAAAAAGCACTCTCATTTAATTATGAACTGAAACGACTATCTAAGACTGGGAGTGAGGCTGGAGGGGAAAGAATCAATGGGACACACACGGTGGGTGTGGGGGGGAGAATCAAGAATTCTCAAATGGGCCATGTCTATAAATAGCATCTTCAAATTTGATGAAGATTTGACACCTCTCCAAATGAGAAAAGAAATCTTCTCTTAAGTTTTGCCATAACAAAGGAAGTTTTGTTATGATCTTAAATTTTTGGACAATATACTAGTACTGTCTGGGCTCCTCTCCTCCTTCCTCACTCGTTCTCTTAGAAGCCTCTAAAATAACAATTTCAGTATGAAGCCGGACAGACATATCACTCTGCTCTCAAGAGAACATGAACCCTCTAAAAGTTACAAAATAGCCATCGTACCTGCTTTCGTCCCCGAGGCAAAGTGGCCACAGTGTCGGCCAGCATTTGAATCCGCCTATTGTCATCCATGGAAAAGCTGCCTGTGAGTAGGCAGTATGAGCCGCATGCTGGGCCAGCACAGCCGTCCACCAAATTGCCATTGCTGCTCTGGTGCATGAGCCTTGGTAAAGACATTGTGCGCAGAGATCACTCCAGCTGGCACATGGCTGAATGGCCTTGCAGGATGGGGGAAGCTAAAAGTATAAGCCTCTGACAAGTAATCAGAAGTAGCAAAGCAGAAAGAGCCCATGTGACTTCTGTGGTTTGAGGTACTTGTTACAGAAACCCTATCTTGCAGTTCACTCCCATTTCTCAGTGGCTTTTTTCTTTGTGCTCCTGAGAGAAACCTATAGCTACTTTTTACCACGAAAAAAGAACCAACTTATTTCTCCCCCCTTCAAACAGCCAGGACTCTTATGCGTTCATGTTCTCTGACAAGTTGTGTTCAAAACACCATCTGCCTTTTTTTTTTTTTTTTAAAGGAAGAAAAATTTTCCCAAGTTCTGCCATTTGTTTCCCATCCATTTTCCTATTTGATATGAGCAAGGCGATGTAAAAGCCAGGATGTGCGAACATTCAGTTCCCGTGAGTATAAGCAAGAATTACAAGGTCCGGTCATAATGTTCTCTCGCAAAGTCCTTGTAATGTACTTTCCCCAAAGTACACCGCAACCCATTAATGTTCATCAGAAAGACATTATATGTGCCACGTGGACTGTAACCGTTCAGCATTCTCCTGGTTGTCCTTTAACTACGCTGCCCTGGCTAACATTATCCACCATCTTTACAAGGAACAAGGGCAGGGGAAGACCGGCACACGTAGAGCACAGAATTGGCTATATTTTAGAGTGGACGTTGCTGCAGCATCAGCAAGTGGGCCTTGGGAGGAATGGAGAGGGCAGTAAGGTGACAGGCCAACCAAAGTGGCACAAGAATGTTGCCAATGGCCCCTGCATGTGCATGTGGGTCAAGGGCACCATGGTGAAGTAGTCAAGACCACATGCTTTTTCCGGCCGGGGCTGGGGACATGTGTTTTGAGAGAACTGGTTTCAGAGGAGGAGCAAGGGATGGAAATAGAACGAAGAATCAAAACAAAAATTAAAAAAAAAAGAGAAGTTTTACATAGTCTAAAAAGTCAACTACGATTTTTGAAATCATTTTGAGGGTCAACAGTAGAATTTAGGAAGTCTTTCAACTAAAATGGAAGGCAAGGTGAATTCTGCTCAAGCAGAACCTGTGAAATGTAAAAATAGTAAAATCTTCAGAGTGAGCAGTGCTTTATCATTGGCATAGTTAATTGCCAAAGTCGATACCACCCAGGATATGGTAATTGTCATTATGGTATTACTAGAGGCCCGATGCACGAAATTCGTGAAAGAGTAGGCCTTCCTTCCAGCACCAGCTTCCCTCCAGCCTCAGGCAGGCATCCGGGACCCAGGCTTGCCTTGCAGCCCGGGCTTCATCTGGAAGGTCGTCCGGAAGGATGTCCAGTCTAATTAGCATATTACGCTTTTATTATTACAGATGGTATTAGTGTGAGCTAACTAATACACTCTCTGAACCTCAGTTTCCACATTCTAAAATAAAAATTTTTAGTGAGGAATAGATAAAATAGTCCACACATATCACTTTGTAAAAGTAAAGAATTACCATGGAGTTTTTTGTGTACAGTAATAAGAATTTAAAGGAAAAACTTTAAAGAAAAACGATTCTTAATGCTCTATGAGCTGCCCTATCCATTACCAAATGCACCTCATGGCCTCATCCACCATATAGTCTAGCAGTGGTTCTCAACCTTCCTAATGCCACGACACTTTAATACAGTTCCTCATGTTGTGGTGACCCCCAATTTCATTGTTACAAACTGAACATAATTAATGCATAGTGATTAATCACAAAAACAATATGTAATTATATATGTGTTTCTCGATGGTCTTAGGTGACCCCTGTGAAAGGGTCGCTACCCACAGGTTGAGAACCGCTGGCTAAAGCAAGCATGTCAAACTCGTGGCCTGCGGGCCACATGCCTCCTTTATTTGGCCCACATTAGCCTTCAAGTTTGACATGCTTGGTTTAAAGGCTAAAATGCATGTGAAAATCTTAGCTGTCATTCACCAAGGTATGCTTGCAAAGCAGTCAGAGCCAGTGTCTGAAGTTTCTGGATTACCATTAGCCCGACTCATCTATTCATTAGGGTAGACGTGGGAGTCAGTGGTTACTCAAAAAATAAGGATGCCTCTCTGTCCTTCTGATTTTATGATAGTTATTGAGTTTTTGTTCATTTTGGTTTGGCTGTTTGCCTTTATTTGCATAAGAAGACTTTATTCAGTTTCCTGGAATATTACAAGGTTTTGTTTTGTGGTTTGCTTATTCTGTTTATTTTGGCTTTTTGCCTTTATTTCCACAGAAAAACCTTTATTTAGCTACCTGGACTCATGTAGGAAATAGGGTAAAGTCATGGAGATAATATTTGAATATTTTATGTTTGAATTTGTATAAGGTAGACTCAATTATCCCCGAGAGCCCACAGACTGGGATGACTGCTTGTCCTATTTCTCACTTTATTTGAGTGACTGGCTGGTGGAAGGGTGTCTCCATCTTCCCCACTCAGGATGGATTACTGGGACTCTCAGAGAAATTCCCATAGAGGAGTAGTCTTTCAGAAAAAGGTAAACTAAACTCTATGATCAGGATTGGCTCTGAAAAGTAGCTAGCACAGGAAAGGACAATAAGGAAACAGAGGTTGTGAAGTCCCTGTATTAGAAATCCCAAGGTAGATACAAACCAAGTACTAGTTTAGAGTTGTGACATACATATTTATTTATTTATTTATTTATTCCATTTGACCTTCCCCCCAGCCTCCTCTACCCCTCAGCACATGCCCTCACCTCCCTCCCAGTGTCTTGAGTCCATTGGTTATGCTTATATGCATGCATAGTCCTTCGGTTGGGGAGGTGACATACATATTTAAAACAGCATACACACACAGCTTTAAACCGAATATAAATAATAGCTAGCAATAAATCATATCCATATATTGTTAACACATATACAAGGAAACAATTTTCTGAACTATTAAAGTTTAATGCAGTCAAATCATGACCTATGAGTAGATTACAATATCATCCAAGAGCTTAAGAACTGACTTTATCTGGGACCTTAAATAGATTATCTAGATTGGCTTTTCAGGAATCCACTTATGTAATTTCAAGCCTTCTTTTAGATGTAAAACTAAATGTCTTGATACTTTCATGTCATGCATTTATCACATAGAATCATCATTAACTGTATTTTTAAAAATTTTACTTTTTAAAAATGTTTTTCTTTGCTTTGAACAATCCCAAGTAAGCTAGGAATTGAAGGAAATATTTTTAACATAATAAAAGTTATCTGCCAGAAACACCCACCAAATATTGTCCTGAATTTTGAAATGTGTCTCCATTATAGTAGTGAGAAGGCAGTGATGACAATAACCCTCACCACCTGTCACTGTTTTGTTCTATATCATAGATAAGAGGTATAGAATTTGGGGGGCGGGGGGGAAGGGGGAAAGAAAAGGGAGAGAGAGAAAACTGTAAGGCTTGTTGGTAATATGATTGCATGACTAGAATATCCAAGACACTCCCCTGAAGAACAGACTTAGTAAGACAGTTTTTCTAAGTGTAGAATTCAAAGGACCCATATAAAAATAAATAAATTTCTTAAACAGCAACAATGATGATAAGGAAGGAGTTATAATAATAGAGGAAAGGAATACTGTCAAAATAACCAAAAAGTCATAAAACAGGAATAAACCTAGCAAGCATTTTTAAACCCTTTTTTTATATTGATTTGAGAGAGAGAGAGAGAGGTAAGGAGAGAGAGAGGGAGAGCAAAACACTAATTGTTCCACTTACCTATGTATTCATTAGTTTATTTTTGTATGTGCCCTAATCAGGGATCAAAACTGTAACTTGGGCTTATTGGGACGACACTCTGACCAACTTGAGCTACCCGGACAGGGCCCTAACTACCGTTTTTAAGATTTTTATGAAGAACATTCTATGGGATGTCCAGACTATGGGAAAGAAACATCCTTTCCCACATGAGAAGAGTCCTTCTTGTGAAAGATGTCTATTATCCCCAATTTTCTAAAATATTCAATGTACTGTGAATCAAAATATCTGCCGGTTTTGTTTATTTGCTTGTTGGTTAATAAAATTTGATATATATTCTTACACTTATGTGAAAAAGAAAGTGCATAAGACTAGCCAAGAAGAATTTTTGAAAATAATAATGGTAGGGGATGGAGGTGAGGATGGACATTGAGAAAACTACCCTACTTGGGCATCAAAAGATATTACAAAAGTTAGAACTGTATTATCAAGTAGAATAAGTCAGTAAAAGGATATTGACAAATAGCCCCAGCTGGGTGACTTGGTTGGAGTGTTGTTCGATTCCCAGTCAAGGCACATTCCAAGGTTGAGGGTTCTATCCCTGGTTGGAGCGAATACAGGAGGCAACCAACTGATGTTTCTCTCTCACATGGATGTTTCTCTCTCTCTTTCTCCCTTCCTCTCTCTCTAAAATCAATAAAGACATATCCTCAGATGAGGATTAAAGAAAAAGTTAGAAAAATAGTATTGATAAATGGAAATTGTCAAATGAATAAAGAAACACAAAACATATATATATATATATATATATATATATATATATATATATATATATATATATACTTATTCAGAAATTTACTATATCACCAAGTTATTTTAGCTCATTAGGAAAAGAATAGACCTTTTGATAAATAGGGTTAGCACCTACTTGGAAAAAATTAAGTCATAGTCATTTATTATAATAATCAAGTCAATATGGCTTAAAGAGTTAAATGCCAACATAATTTTAAATACATAAAATAATAACAGAAACTATATAATATTTTAGTAAGATTAAGTTGGAAATGGTCTTCCTAAAAATACAAAAATATCCAGAGATGATTAGCAACATAAAGATTAAAAACTTCTGGTCAATAGAAGCTATATGTACATCATAGGTTTAAGCTAAGTGACAGATAGCAAGAAATTATTTGTAATACACAATTGATTAAAGACCATAATATATAAATAGTTCTTAAATATATTTTGTAGAAAAGTATTTTTAAATGAGCAAAAGCTATGAAAATGTATTTTAAAGAAGAAATAGAAATCATTAATACATTTATTAAATAATGTTTGAACTTATTAGTAATCA